GTCAGTGGCGCGGGTGTAGCGGTGGAGCGAGAGCAGCAGCTCCGGCGCCCGGTACCAGCGGGTGGCCACGTACTCGGTGAGGAAGGCCTTGGCGTGGCACGGGTCAGCGCCCAGCCCCCGGGCCATGCCGAAGTCGCCGATCTTCAGCTCGCAGTTCTCGTTCACCAAGAGGTTGCTCGGCTTCAGGTCGCGGTGGAGGACGTTGGCCGAGTGGATGTACTTCAGGCCTCGCAAGAGCTGGTAGAGGAAGTAGCGGACGTGCTCCAGCGTCAGCGGCTGCGACGAGTGGATGATCTGGTGGAGGTCACTCTCCATCAGGTCCAGCACCACGTAGCTGCAAGCAGGAAGAGGGACCCGGGCGTCCGGGAGGGGCTGGGGACGTCCCCGTGGGTGCCACCACCCCCTCTGTGGACCCAGGTAGCCAGGTGGGCTCCATCCCACGTGTCCTGTTGCCCCTCAAGAGGATCCAAGAGTCCAGGAGGGGCTGGGAACATCCCTGTGGGTGCCACCACCCCCTCGGGGACCCAGGTAGCCAGGTGGGCTCCATCCCACGTGTCCCGCTGCCCCTCAAGAGGATCCGAGCGTCCAGGAGGACCCAAGAACATCCCCGTGGGGGCCACCACCACCCCATGTCCCCAACCAGCCAAGTGGGCTCCATCCCCCACGTTCTCCTGCCCCACCAGAGCAGCTGGGAGGGGACGGAGATGTCCCTACGGGGGCCACCACCGCCTGGGGGGTACCGGGGGGGGAACCCAGGCGTCCAAGGCACGCACACGGAGCGGAACTCGCCGTAAGGGACGGTGGGCTTGAGGATGTCCTTGATGCCGATGATGTTGTCGTGCTTGAAGTGCTTGAGGATCTTCAGCTCCCGCAGGGTCCGCTTCGCGTTGGTCACCACGTCGAAGGCGTTGGGGATCTTCTTGATGGCTTGAGGATGTCCTTGATGCCGATGATGTTGTCGTGCTTGAAGTGCTTGAGGATCTTCAGCTCCCGCAGGGTCCGCTTCGCGTTGGTCACCACGTCGAAGGCGTTGGGGATCTTCTTGATGGCGACCTGCTGGCCTGACGTCCCGCGGACACAGGCGTCCGGGGGGGGCTTGTCACCCGCTCCGGCGGACCCCGGGGAGCCCACCCAAGCACCCAGGGAGTACCCAGGAATCCGGGAACCCCCACCCAAGGGGACCCCGGCATTGAGGAGCCCCCCAATCCCCCCCACCC